TGGAATGTTATAGGACTAACAGTAGAATGTCCATTTTTATTCAGAATGTTAGAGAAATGTTTTGTACTTTCAGGAGTGCATTAAAATAGTCTATAAAAACCCTCTGTCATGTATCTGGGGAAGTATTACAAAGATTGAGCTGACACCATTACGCAGGGGAACAAGACAAGGATTATCGCTGATCAACCTTATTTCACTTAATTATCGAACCATTAGCACAAAAGTTCAGGAATACTGAAGAAATTCAGGTAATAAGTGTATTGGGAATAGAAAACAAAGTTGCATTATATGCTGACAATCTTATGCTTTTCATATAAGTTATAAATTTCCAATATTACTAGAAATAATTGACATGTTTGGTCAGGAATCAATGGAACAGACTAAACTATTCTAAATCAGAGATACTGTGCCTTTGCAAAAGATACATAAAAAATGAAGAATGTCCACTGAAAATAGTGGATAATAAATTAGATATTTAGGCATTAATGTATCACTTAAAGTGGTGGAGCTGTTTAAACTAAATATTGAGCCATTAATGAAAATTATTTACTATGACCTAGGTAAGGGGACATGATTACCAATGACACTGATTGACAGAATTAAAGTACTTAAAATGAATGTCCTACCCATGGTCCTGTATACATTTTCCATGATTCCCTTCACAGACTGAAAACAATATTTTACCACAAAATTAAAAATTATTCAGAGATTTTGGTGGTTATAACAGAAACCATGAATCAAAATGGAATTATTGGGATGTCCAACTGAGATAGGTTACTATGAGCAGCATAAATCAGGGCAGAACTAGAATGGATCTCTAATCAGGAGAAACCATTGGGGGTAAGAACTGAAACTGACAAACAATCTCATTATATAATTCTGTTACATAGTTCAAAATTCTAGCACCCATAAGACAATGCCTATTATTTTAAAATGTACATAGTAGTTGAGCGTATGTAGGGTTGGCAGTATTTTATTTTTTAAATTAATTTCCGTAGATAATATTGAAGTTTATTTTTAAGTCTTTTTTTGTCTTTTTATTGGTTTAAATTTACACAATTGTAGGAAATTATTAGGGGACGATCTGACAATTATTTAATGACAACAGACATTGAGTCAAAAAGATAAAGCTTTATAACCATTAAAACACAAATTTTCGACATCACATGTCAAAATATACAAAGTAAATACTCTTAAATGAAACTAGTGAGTTCTCAAGTAGCATTTTTCTATTTTGCCTGTCTGTAAATTTCAATTATTATTGATGTAAATAATTTTTGTCAGTTTGTGTGTACAGTGAAATCGATACAGTGATAAAAATCTAACCTTTCCAAACCTAAGCATGTGTGAGGCACTTGACCAGATAAAAAGAGCAGATCTCAGTAATATCAGAAATAAAAAAAATTGTGCTTTCAAGCATGGTCTACATAAGGAATTATTTTTAATATTGAGACAAATATCACATAAATTGAAGGAAAAATGAGATACTAGATATGGAGGGCTCTGAGTTATTATAGAGAATTCTTTCCCAGGTGTTTGGCTGGTGGGTCTTATTCACATGCTCAGGGGCTAACTGCCATATTTGGGGTCAGGAAGAAATCTTCCCCTGGGTCACCCTGGGGTTTTTTGGCCTTCCTCTGCAGCATGGAGCATAGGTCATTTGCAGGTTTAAACTACTGTAAAAGGTGGATCCTCTGTAACTTGAAGTCTTTAAATCATGATTTGAGGATTTTGGTAACTCAGCCAGAGGTTTGGGGACTATTACAGGAGTGGGTGGGTGAGGTTCTGTTGCCTCCTGTGGCAATGTGCAGGAGGTCAGACTAGATGATCATGATGGTCTCTTCTGACCTTATAGGCTATGAGTTTATGATTTCTTCAGGAATGGACTATCCTTAAAACAAATTGATGTAAGTGATATTAAAAAAAAAGCACAATGAGTTTATACTGATTGTTTACCTTATTAAAAACATTTTCAGAAAAGAAAGGAACAAAGTATTCTTCATTTGAAAATTTCATACAAGGGCTTGAAGTTTCAGTAATCAACATGTCTCTCTAGAACATACAACTTCATAACTGTGCAGTGTTGTAGTAGTAGTTTTGGTCCCAGGATATTGGAGAGACAAGGTGGATTAGGTAATATCTTTTATTGGACCGACTTCTGTTGGTGAGAGAGACAAGCGCTCTGTTACACAAGAAAGCTTGTCTCTCTCACCAACAGAAGTCGATCCAATAAAAGATATTACCTCACCCAGCTTGTCTCTCCAACTTCATGACTCTGTTTTTAGGAGACAAACTGCATGAAACTGTTAAGTTATGGATTGCAGACTGTAAATGTGAAATAACAAAAGAATGGCTGGAATGATATAATGCAGAGAGTAAGTAGTGGATCCAGCACTAGCCAGAAAGTACACGTTCAGTACTATCTGGTACTATTCTTCTCCATCTCTAGATAAAAAAATACAATATTGCCCCAGCTATCTGTATGAAATGCAAAATAGCCAGGACCTGTTTCCTACACATGATATCGGAATGCTAGATGGTAAAAATGTTTTGGAAGTCCATCCTGAAAGAAAGAAAGAAAATGCTTGAGCTAGAACTCGAATAGGACTGATGACATGTATGGTGGGATTTTGTCTATTAAATAATTGAGATGCTCTGATATGGACACAATAATCTTATGTTTATAACAACAATAGATAGGAAGGAAATAGAGGACAATAATTGAATACATCCTGCTTTCCTCTAATTTCCCATGCTTTCTGTCTCCTGACACTCAACACCTTTGCCCCAAGAGAACATTCAGCTTCCCAATAAAAAAGGTTAATAGGGATGGTTAAATATATGTATATCAGGTTATAGTTGTGTGGTTGTGTTTGAATAATTTGAAGAAGAAAAAAAAGGAGTAATGCTATATCAAGGTATGGTCAATATATAATATGCTGATAAATATTGTTAATATTGTACAAAATATTGTAATATTTTGAATATTTATATATGCCAAGACACTGGAACTGAAATATTTTATTTTAAATGACCAGTAATATCAGTAAATAAAATATTTTTCCTAACTCTGCCCCACCACAAGTCTCACGTGAGGGCTAGAATTTTTTTTTTTTTTTTTTTTTTTTTAGTGAAAGCTGAAGTGCTGGAGCACAATTTTGTGTTAAGGGATGAGTTCTGTGGCAAAGCCACTAGCTGCGGCATATACGGGGCCCTCATTACAACTCTACACATTTTACACATCCGATAAAAAAAATATTCCAGTTATAATAGCTACTGTCCATTAGCTACTTTTAGCTTTTTAAATCCAAAGATTTGCCTCCTTATCTCTTCCCAGAGTCTTGAGTACACACATATTTAACAAAAATTGTATATTATAGGGTGGTAGATGCAAGTAAATGAAAATGAGTGTGGTGCTGGAATCTTTGAGGTGTATTGTTCTTGGTGACCCTAGCTTCCACATACATGATGTCAAGTATACCCTAGCATCTGATCTCAATGAAAGACAAAAGGAGAGCACAGTCTATTGAGCTTATCAAAGAGCAGGTTAAGAGACAACTTAATCAGTCTACAACTCCTATACAGGAAGGAAATATCTGATACTAGAGGGCTCTTTAATCTAGCAGACAAAGGAGTTAGACGAGCCAGTAGCTGGAAGTTGAAGTCAGTGAAGATCAAAGTATAAATACAATGCAGATTTTTGACACTGAATGTAATTAACCATTGGAAGTTTACCACGGGACTTGACACCAAGCAAGACTGTTATTGGTTGGAAGGGGCAAGGAGCCCCTGGCATCCATCCAGGGAAACGCCAAGCAAAGTCAGCCCAACAAGCCACTGCTCCAACTCTCTGTGAATCTGAGTGTTAGGGATTGTGCACAGCTGAGCTAAAATAGAACAGTACCATCAGCACTTGGTCTTGTCTCCAAATCAACCCTACACGGACCATGAAGAACATCATAGTTCACTGCTCTTCCTGTCCAGCTTTCTTCTAAGAAACAGCTAATATCTGAGACTGTTTCAGAAGCTGATTTACAATTATTATTATTCCTTCTGAAATAGATGTTCATTTTTATTATGCAAAGAAGAAAAGAAATGCTTAACAAAAATCTGTTAGTTTCTGGTATTCTAATAAAATATATGTAACCTGAACATAAACGGAATATTCTAAAACTGAACTAAGCAGCTTTGTATATATGAAGATGCATCATTAATATCTAAGCACTAATATGAAGAGACATCACTTCAAGCAGTTTGAGGAATGACAGAAAAGTGAAATGGTCTAGATATCTTGTCAATAAGTGTTACAGCAAACAGAACCTTAAATTTGGGACTTGGCAAGTTAGAAAAGCAGTGCTACTTTCCAGCTCATGTTTTAAAATATCTTCATATTGTGTTTAAAATTACAGAGAAATACATGTCACCATATTTTGTTAATGATTTTGAATAATAAAATGTGGTTAATCTTAGAAAAATTATTGTAACAATGACATCTGCACTTCAATTATTCTCATATATTGGTTCATGGATTTTTCTAACTCATAGCCCTGTAAACTCAAATTAGAGATTTGACTGTCAAGTCATATTATTTCTTTACTTTATACAACACATCATCAACAATAAAACTGTGGATTCAGAACTTAACAGGCAATTCTGTCTCATGCATGTTGCAAAATAGACTATAACTTGCTTATCTGCAAGTGAACTTTATTCACTCCCCCGTGCTTGACTGCAGGACATTTTTTGCCTAAGTAAAATAAGTTAATATGACGCATGAGAAGCATATATACACATTATGAAGTTGCCATGTTTACAGCCACATCTCTGACTATAACCAGGCTTTATCTTTTAAAAACATTTCAGTCCACCTTTGAACTTAATGTTTTTGAGTGCCATAAAGTTCAACAAGATAAGCTTACCCTGACTTTGTTGAAGCATAAAACTTGTGGTACTGTCAAAACATCTTCTAACAAGTGTCTGTTTTCCTTTATTTATTTTAGGTTCTTGCCTACACAGAAGGCCTTCATGGAAAATGGATGTTCAGCGAGATTCGAGCCGTTTTTTCAAGACGTTATCTTCTCCAGAACACTGCTTTGGAAGTGTTTATGGCAAATAGAAGTATGTCTTTATGTTGTTCATTTATTTGGTATAAGGTATCTGCTGGTAGTTTTTATGGATGGTATCCATTCATCCCCAAATTAAAACTTTGTAGTTTGTTTTGAAAAATGCTATTTTCCTTCAGTAATCCCTCACACTTGTATTTATTCACTACATTTGATATAGAAAATATTTGCCAATAGGCCATTAATATGGATTTTAATCTGGCACTCTGACAGCAAGTTTTGATGAATAAAGACTACACACTGAAGCTGGTAAATGCTGCTATTATTTTCCATACTGTACCAGAGCATGGCTCCTCTCCTATCTTCGTCCCAGCAGAAGCTGCACAGACTGCACAAGGTGTGCACTCAGTGACCTTTTATTTCAAGTGCCCTCCACCAATATCACTTTAGTCCCCATGCAACAATCTATTTACAATATCTGCAGTGCTTTTGGCCCTGTCCTCAGGACATGGGTGGAATAGAGGTCTCCCTTTTCTGAAGCTTTTATATGACTGGGCTTAGCTAGCCCTGTTCCTTTCTCTCTTTCCCCCTCCCTGGCATTTCCTTCCTGTGCCTCTTTATGAGACTTGGGCTGATGGCTAATTAAATGTTTATCTCACCCAGCCTGCCAGTCTGATTACCCCAGTCAGCTTCCTCTGGAGGGGGAACTAATTAACAGCTGAGTGACCAGAGTGCAGGCTCATCTGTTCACTCCATGCACTTGGTCACACATGCATTATTGTTCAAAACTTTAAACAGATTTGCTTCTGCTATGTCCTCATACCCTTTGCTTTCATTTTCTGAAAATATTCTAGTGCAATAGCTTTACTAGTGCAAATACTCAAAAAAGGGAATTTTAAGCCTGAATGGCTGATATATGCCAAAAGTGAAATTTTCAAATTTTATATTTTAAAATACAATTTGAAAATTGTACTGTTATTTGTCCAAGTTGCCTATTTAGTGAACACAATAGCATGTAATTTACATAGCTTATCAATAACAGCACAAATGTTGACAATTCACAATGAACTGTTAAGGAAAGATCTTCTGAGCTAGAATTTATTTGTTGAAAAAAGTGAATAATTTTGAATAATGAATAAATTGGAAATATTTGCAGTTCTGTTCATGAATAATTCAAAAACAGTAAAAGAGTTGACATTTGTCAAATAATTGTTTGTTTTGAATTATTTGGCTAGGTTTGCTCCACACAGTGTCTAGTTAGCTTGATTGGCCCACAACCTTTATTGAAATAAATAAAGATGTAGAGTTTCAGAATTTATATGAAAGTAAATCATTTTTCATACCACTTCTGTGATATTGCACATATTGATCTCCCAAAGTGACAGAAACCAACTTGGAATCCAACCCAATGGAAAAAGACCAAAATCCCCTAACCAACGCATTTCTCATGTGAAGAACTGAACTCAGACTTAGGGATGCTTTAAACTGTGCACAATAGTAAAGTCCAACTGTACTTCAATACTCACTGCATACTATAGCTATCTCATTTCCAGCTCTGTGTTCACGTTTGGGATACGATACCTCCAGTGGACTCCTGCTATTTTGACAAACCAGAAGAATCTTTCCCACTAAGTGGGTCTCCAGAATGCAATCCCCAAATGCACACAGAGCAACCATATACAATGATTTTACCACAAAAGCATAATATAATCAGTAGCACCTATTAGACTCTCTACTGCAAAGTGTTAAAACACCATTGTCTCACCAATCTTCTGAGGGGGAAAATTCCCTTCATGCTGAACATAGCTAGGCTTGGAAGGATTAGAGTTTTATCAATAAAAGTTGGTAAACATCAATTTTACTGGACCCACACACATTAATGAAAAATATTTCCGTTGATGATGATCAAAATTTACAGATAGGCAAAGTAAGAAAAGTGCTTCTTGAGAATTTATTAGACTTTGATTTTAAGGCTGTTTACTTTGTATGTTTTGACATGTGATGTTGATAATTTGTATTTTAATGGTTATAAAGCTTTAACTTTTTGAATTTCAACATCTTCTGTCATTAAATAATTGTCTGATCTCCCCATACTTTACCACATTTGTGAAAGTTAAAATGTATAATTTTTTTTAAAAAATGCATGAATTTTACACAATGGTAAAAATTTAGGGAGAAAAAAATAGAAAAAAGCTTAAAATTTAACATTGATATTATGTGTTGAAATTATAAAATAATAAAAATAGAATTCTGCCAAACCTAAAAATAGGTGTTGGAATCATGTCAGGAGTTCCCCTTCAACAAACAGTATGCATGGGCCCAAACAATTAGTTTCCTGAAGGTGTAAATGCTACCTTGAAGCAGACTCAGGAACAGATGGTTGGTGAGGTGTGTCAACAGTCTAGTCACCATGAGGGAGCAGTGATATAAGTTCTGCCCTTCAACTGAAGAGGGGAGGTAGTCAGCCAGTCCCCTGGTCTGGCAGTTTTTGAATGCACTAGTCACTGGACTAAATTCCATACAACCCATTGGAAGGCTCTACAACCTAACGAGAGATTTGAATGTGTGACATACCACCCTTCCCCTGCAACACACAATCTATATTTCCTGCAAGATGGGGATACACATTAGTGCCAAAGAAGATAATTAGCTTTACACTGTGTTACTCAGAGCACAGAACATTTTCAGAAGTACCCATTCTCCAGGCTTGAGAATACTGAAAGTTTTAAAGACCCTTGGTTCACAGGAAGATAAGTGTGTAGCTGGATTACCCTTCCAAATAAATTCTGAGAAGCCTTTTGAAAATATATTGTGAATTATCTGGTAAAGAAACAGAGTTCTGTTCTTTTGTGGTGTTTTAAGTCACGTTTTTTCTTCTTATCACAGCCTCGGTTATGTTTAATTTTCCTGACCAAGCAACAGTAAAAAAAGTTGTGTACAGCTTACCTCGTGTTGGAGTGGGGACCAGCTATGGTTTGCCACAAGCAAGGTAATGTCATTAAAATATTTGATGCTGTGTTGTGTTTATATGCTTGCAGACTCAGAATGGTTGATATTTGTGAATATTAAAACATTACTACTGCAAGGGGTCTGGAATTCCCATCACTTCAGGGTCCCTTGAGCAGCAATATTTTTAACTTAATTATGTGATATGTTATAGAAAATCAGCACTATATAAAAGTATTTTAAATCAGCAATTTTTTTTACTATTTTAGCAAATGAGTGTACTCCAATAAGCAAACAGAATAAAGCTGATTGAAATTGTTTGTTATTTAAACATTGAAAGAACTGTGTGCTTGTTTGTTTTTGAGGTGACATTTTTGCAAAAATTAATGTGCTGCTTTGAGTATTAAAACTAAAGATATGAACTGAGGTTGGGCATGTTTTGGTTTTGCCAAACAATTTTGCTTGGTTTTTTTTTTGCCTTTTCCAGTGGCAAAAAACATTTTTGGTTTTGGTTTTACCATCCATCAGTATATAAAGTATTTTGCACTTTCCAAGTTTCCCCATCTTATTCTGATTATACTAAATTATTCTTCTCCTGCTTCTAGGATTAAGAGGGAAATACATTTAAAAATATGCAAACTCAAGGCTCAGGTTTACAAATCTACATGCTGTATAAAAATACATAGTAAAACCAGCTCGAAGCATTAACAAATTGCACGTAGGTTCACAGCATTGTCAAAACACACAGAGGAGCCTTCCATTTCCACTACCTACATTATCTGAAGAGCTCCACTAAGCCTCTGAGACAACTCGCCCTCCTTCAAAACTCCCCATCATTCCTACCAGCTGTTGTCTTCTGTGGAAAGACCAATGTTCATCTTTTCCTCTGGCATTTTCTGGGGTCTGATTGCATGCATGCATCAACCCTCACACCAGGGAGTGATGCTCTTTTGCCTTCACATCCAGGCCTCCTAGGTTTGCATACTTGGTAATATTTAAAAACCAGACACTCCAGCAGGAGTGCAGGAACCTCCCCTGCCCCATGTCTTCCCCCTGAGGCCCTGCCCCTGCTCTGCCTCTCCCCTGAGGCTCCACCACAATCCACTCCTTCCCCCCGCCCCCCCGGTCGCTCGCTGCTTTTCCCTTCCCACCCTCCCCGCCTGGGTCAGGAGGGACTCACCTGCTTTTCTGGGGCTGGGAGCTGCAGCCACCTGACCAGACTCCTTTGCAGTCCTAGCTTCTGATACTCCAAGCCTGCTCCCTCCTCTGCCTTTACGGAGTGCAGCCCAGGTCTTTTGTCCTCTCCCAACCTCTTCTGGGAGGATGCCAGATAAAATGCTTACTCCCACACTGAGTACTCGGGTGGATTAGCCACAGAGGGTAATTATCCTCCATCACCCGCCTGAATCCTGAGTGTCTTCTGTAAGGGAAGACTTGTTAATGGTCTGGTATGCAATACATGCACACACGTGATCTGGGAGTGGCAGATTCCATTATCAGCACACTCTGAGCTACAGAGCCTAAACAGGCCCTTGAAGCCCTTGTACAGTACTAGAGGAATCTGTGATTTTCCTAATTACTTCTAAACCCTAGAGCTCAATGTGGGAGGAGAGCAGAGAAAGCATAATGCTGTCTTGGGTGGAGGAGCAGGGAAGTGATCACTCCAAAGAACCAAGCCCACTACTGATTTGAGGCTAAGGATTCTGTTGCAGTCTTCAGATCCATGCATATTTATCTCCCTAAATACACAACTCATGTATTTTAGCTGTGCACTTTGTTGGAGTATTTGTCTTTATCTTATAAAACTATATGTACATAATTCACTAATGCAATGTGAAAATCATATTGGCAAATATTTTCAACCTTCTATTAAAAAATCAGGCCATATTTATAATAATAAAGTTATTATCTGGAAATATGAGAGAACCTGGAATGAAGGAGAACATTTATAGTACAGTAGCTCAGCTGCATGGTTTTCAGAAGTGATGTCCAAACATAGTCAGTAGAAGCTGCAGGTTCTCAACATATTTGAAAATAAGTCACTTTTATTAAGGTACCCAAATATGGAATTAGGCACTCAGATTTGCAAAAGTTGTCCATAATCATTTATTATATAAGTGCAGCAGGAAGTAGTAGTAGTAATTCAGTAGATGAAACTCTTACCTCTTAACCAGCACTGAATCAATGCAATATGGTATCAGAAGGCGTTGTGTTACCAGGAGTTACAGTGAGGATGAGGTATAAAATTAAGGTCCTGAAAGTGCAAATAACTAATTTTCAGTTTGCTGATTATTCAAAAATATTGGGGAAAACAACTGGTTTGGGTTGAACCAATTTTTTTCTGGATTTTTGGTGAATCGAAAAAGTTGGAAAAATTTTGTTTCCGGTCAAACAAAACCTTTCATTTTAATCTGAAACAAAATGTTTCATTTTGAGTATTCTTAATAAAAGCAAAGGAAATGAAGGGGGAGATTCACAAAAATAGAGGAGGAAGAGGTGGTGATGCTGCCTTCCCCCTTCTTTATGTAATAGCCCCATAGCTAAGGCACTCACTTGGAAGGTAGGAGACCTGGGTTTGAATCCCTACACTGAAGCAGGGACTGGAACCCAGGTGTTCCACCTCACCCAAGATGAGTGCCCCAACCATCGGGCTGTAGTCTTTCTTACTCTTTTTTTCTGGCCCAATGACTATGCAAGCATTGTGGACAAAGTAGAGCAGCTTCAAAAAGAGAGATTGAGAGAGACCCACCGCACAATACTATATAGCCTGGTGGCTGAAGTGAAATAGAACCCACTCCAGAACAGCCAATAGCCCAGTCATTTAGGTCCTCACCTACAGAGCAGGGATGTATAGTGTTAATAAGATAATTAAAAACAAAAACCCCAATAGCCATAGGAATGAACAAGATGTATACTCTTCCTTCCTCACACATTTCTAACCATGACTAGGACAAAAGTGACTAGTGATTTCAGGTGCCTGAGTTTTTGGGTGCCCATCTTGAAACACCTTAATGGGGCCTAATTTTGAGAAAGTACTGAGCACCCACCTGGGAAAATCTGGTTCCATTAAAGTATCTCAAGTTGGGCACCTGTTAATTGAGGATAAAAGAGAAGTCACTTTTTAAAATCTTGGATCCTGTTATTTCTCACAGAGTATAGGGTTGCATCCCAGACCGTCTTGACGAATAGCCATTCATGGACCTATCCTTCTTATTTAATTCTTTTTTAGAACCCAGTTATACTTTTGGCATTCTTCTTCAAGTAGTGTCCCTATGTGTGCTCCACTGTAGGTGTATCTGCACCCCTGTGCCTAGCATAGATACGCCTACAGTGGAGCAGCCATAGGGGGACACATCTCGAAGAACCATCGTTACGTCACAAGGTGAGAAACTTCTTCACGATATCCCCTGGCAATGAGTTCCTCAGGTTGATTGTGCATTGTGTGAAGAAGTTCTTCCTTCTTCTTTGAGTAGTGTCCCGATGGGTGTTCCATTCTAGGTCCACTTGTGCTCCATGTGTGTCAGATCAGAGATTTTAAGTAGCAGTGTCTGTTTGGCCCATGCATGGACCCCCCACAACCTTGTGCCCTCCACCGAGATTATGTAGATTTGCGTAGGTGAACCACTCTCAGTTCCTTCTCAACTGCCTCAGCCTGAGACGGAGCTTCAGCAGCATCTGAGTTGAGCTTACCTTAACTGTAATTTTCTATCATTCTTAATAGTTAGTGTTAGTTCTTCAAGTTTCCTTTGTGTTAGTTAGTGGTAGTAATTTTATAATTTAAAAAAACTTTAAAAGATTGTACTTATACTTTTAGGATAAGGACCATTGTCCCTCCATCTATTTTTCTTTGTTTCTCCCCGTCAGGGGAGCTTAAATCCTGGGAGGGTGTCCACAGTTCTCCTGGGTTTAAATGTTGCCTTTCATGCTGAGAGGCTATCCCAATCAGTGATGGACACTCCCAGTAAGTTCACTGCCTTGGGGAGTCACACATTCCCCAAAAGTGTAATTTTTGTCTGCAATTAAAGTTGAGGGCCAGAAAGAACTGGGAACTTAAACTACATCTCCTCATGATGAAGAGTTTGCTTTGATCAGCCTCTGACTCCAACCAGGGTACTCCCCCCATAAAACAATCTCCAAACAGGTTGACTGCTTCCACCTCCTCGGTGCAACACTCCCCTAGAGCATCAAAGAGGAAATCCCTGGAATTCTCTCAAAAAGACAGTCCTGCTTTGGCAACTACCGATCTCCGACTTGGTACCCACAAGGCTGCAGGTTCCTCAGCTACTGTGACCACCAGCATGCCTAGGATTCTAAAGGTTCCTGCTCTGAAAGATCGGTACCATCAGGTGACTGGACTGGTGCAGAGAAGAAGTACTAACAGAGTCTACTAGGACCTCAGTACGCAGCACTTTGGCTCTGCAAAAGACCAGACCGACACCTACTGATCATTCATCATAGTGCATGAGACCTTTAGTACCATCAGCACCTTCTGCCACAGTTACCTCTGCCCAGCTTGTCTCATTAGTACCGTCCACTGTTCCAGTACCTCAAGAGTTTCAATTTCCTCAGGACTTGGCAGTAACAGAAACACCTGAATCTCTTATTCGGTACCGACCCAGTTGCAGTACTGACCCACCTCTCAGTCCCTGAAGATTTGCCCAGTACCAACCGAGTCTCTGCCTTTCTCTATAATTGCTCCACCTCTACTAAGTGATGATGATGAGGAAGACAATGGGGACGTTTCCTCAGTCTCCCACATTTCTGTCCAGCACTCTCCCTTCCATTATCAAGGAAATCTCTATCCTGAGACCTCTAAGGAGTTGGGCGATCCTTGTGAGAGTCATGCTCCACCTGGCTGATATGGCCACCTTTGTGTGCCTTGGACAGTTTATCTCAAGGGCCCCTATTGTTTCTCGCCAGGAGAAGAGCAGGCAGTCCCCACCAGCCTCCTTCTCTAGTGTTCCTGATCATACAAGAGGAGACCTTTGAGGAGCAGGAAGTGAGATTGGACAAAGAGAATACCTCTACAACTAACATCTCTTC